AGAGGGTAATTTTTTAAACTTTTATTTAATAAATATAAATTTCCCATAGTGTCCATTTGGTCAGCTCTTGTCCTGACGGTTGATGTACAATGTAATACTTTATCCATTTTAGTATTTTTTTTGTTCTAGTACCATTGGTTGAACTCTGTAATTAACACACAATTATTCTTAGGGGTTTAAATTTTAACTGAAAAGTGATCCCTGTTAGGAATTTGGAAAAGATTATGCTGAGTGAAATAAGCCAATCCCAAAGGGACAAATACCACATGTTCTCCCTGATAGGTGACAACTAACTGAGCACCAAAAAGGAAACCTGTTAAAGTGAAATGAACACTATGAGAAACCGTGACTTGATCAGCCCTCGCCCTGACTGTTGATGAGCAACTTAATATGTTATCCTCCTTAGTATTTTTTTTGTTTGTTCTACTTAATACTTTTGGTTGAATACTGTAATCAATACACAATTATTCTCAAGTGTTGAAGCTTAACTGAAAAATGATAGCTGTTAAATATAAGAGTGGGAATAAGAGAGGGAAGAGATGTGCAATTCGGGACATGCTCAAGCTGACTTACCTCAAATGGTAGAGTTAGAAACATATCAGAGGATTCCAATTCAATCCCATCAAGGTGGCATGTACCAATGCCATCTCACTAGTCCCAGTGATCAATTTCTGTCCACAATTGATCATAATGATAGGACTAAGAACCAAAGGGATCACATAAACAAGAATAGTGTCTGCAAATACTAGCTGATAGAATCAAAAAGGGAGAGAATGATCCAACATGGGAAGTGAGATACACAGCAGACCCATAGAATGGCAGATGTCCTAAACAGCACTCTGGCCTCAGAATCAGCCCTTAAGGTATGTGGATCCGGCTGAAAAGCCCATGAGACTATTTCAGGCATTGTAATCCATAAGCCGTACCTTAGAAATTTATATTCATTAAATAAAAGTTAAAAAAAAATAAAAAAAATAAAATTGAAAAAAAAAATAAATTTCCAAAGTACAGTTTATGGATTACAATGGCTTTTTCTCCCCCATAACTTCCCTCCCATCTCCCACTCCCTCTCCCATTCCATTCACATCAAGATTCTCATTTTCGATTATCTTTATATACAGAAGATCAATTTAGTATATATTAAGTAAAGATTTCAACAGTTTGCAAGAGTGTCAATTGTTAAGTCAACAACAGGAGTCAGTATGCACTTACTCTCCATCTAGGATCTCTGTCCTTAATGTGTTGTACAATGTGAATTAATGCTATAACTCGTACTCTAACAGAACTTTACACTTTGTGTTTCTGTGTGGGTGCAAACTGTTGAAATCAGAGGATAATATTTTAAGAATTTCATTTTATCTAAAACTTCTCTCAAACATTTTGATCAAGGATTATTTGTGACATATGTTATTCTATCATTATTTTAAATAAGAATTTCTTGAATGTTTGGCTTCAACTAAAGAAAATCACCCGGAGTAAAATGAAAAAAAAATCAAGATTTCATTTTATTATAAAAATACAACTACATAAGCAGAAAACATAATAATGTATGACAGTTTTTTTTAAGATTTATTTATTTATTTGACAGGCAGAATTACAGAGAGAGAAGGAAAGACATATACCTTCCACCTGCCAGTTGACTTTCTGAGTGGCAGCAACAGCCAGGGCTGGGCCAGGCCAACGCCAGAAGCCAGAAGCTTCATTCAGGTCTCCCACATAGGTGGCAGTGGCCCCAAACACTTGGGCAATCTTCTGCTGTTTTTCCCAGGCCATTAGCAGGGAGGTAGATTGGAGGCAGAGAGGCTAAGACACAAACTGGTGCCCATATGGGATGCTGGCATCATAAGTGGCAGGTTTACCCACTATGCCATAAGTCCAGCTCATATTTTTCTTGGTTCTGTAACTGTCAGTCTCACTCATTTGCTCGTTCATTCAACTATAATTTTCTCAACACCTACTATTTCTTGGTTCTAATACAGGCACTGGTGATCCAGCAACAAATAAGGCAGGTAATAGTCCTGTCCTCACTGATCTTACATTATGGAGAAAAAATATCATAAAATAAAAATGTAAAAAATGATAGCTGATAGAATACGTTCCAGAGGTTAGGGTATTTGGCAAGTTAAAATCTGATGTGTGGGCCGGCGCCGCGGCTCACTAGGCTAATCCTCCGCCCAGCGGCGCCGGCACACCGGGTTCTAGTCCCGGTCGGGGCGCTGGATTCTGTCCCGGTTGCCCCTCTTCCAGGCCAGCTCTCTGCTGTGGCCAGGGAGTGCAGTGGAGGATGGCCCAGGTGCTTGGGCCCTGCACCCCATGGGAGACCAGGAAAAGCACCTGGATCCTGGCTCCTGCCATCGGATCAGCGCGCCGGCCGCGGCGGCCATTGGAGGGTGAACCAACGGCAAAGGAAGACCTTTCTCTCTGTCTCTCTCTCTCACTGTCCACTCTGCCTGTCAAAAAAAAAAAAAAAAAAATCTGATGTGTGGGGGCCGGTGCCGTGGCTCACTTGGCTAATCCTCCGCCTGCTGCGCTGGCATCCCATATGGGTGCCGGGTTCTAGTTCTGGTTGCTCCTCTTCCAGTCCAGCTTTCTGCTGTGGCACGGGAAGGCAGTGGAGGATGGCCCAAGTGGTTGGGCCCCTGCACGTGCATGGGAGACCAAGAGGAAGCACCTGGCTCCTGGCTTTGGATCGGCGTAACTCCGGCCATAGCGGCCATTTCAGGGGTGAACCAATGGAAGGATCTTTCTCTCTGTCTCTCTCTCTCACTGTCTAACTTTATCTGTCAAATAAAAAAAATCTGATGTTTTCTGATATATGACTGAATGAGAAATAGGAATAATTTGACCATTTGGTGGAAGAAGAGCAATGGTATAAACACTATGTTGGGGCCAGCACTGTGGCATAGCTCGTTAAGCCTCCACCTGTGTTGCTGGCATTCCTTATGGGTACCAGTTCGAGTCCGGGCTGCTACACTTCCTATTGAGTTTCCTGCTAATATGCCTGGGAAAGCAGTCAAAGATGGTCCAAGTGCTTGGGCCCCTGCACCCACATGGGAGACCCATATGAAGCTCCTGGCTCCTGGCTTTGGATCAGCCCAGCTCAGGCTGTTGAGGCCATCTGGGCAGTGAACCAATAGGTAAAAAACCTCTCTCTCTGTCTCTCCTTCTCTCTGTCTGTAACTCTGCCCCTCAAATAAATACATAAATCTTTTTAAAAAAAGATTTACTTTTGTTTTTAAAAAACAGAAGACTTTATTTAGGAATAATAAGAAAATGTCTGGATTACAATGCAAAAGAGGTAGGCAGAGGTCAGAGCAAACGGACTGTTACATCAGGGTGAGGAATCTGGACTAATTATTAGGTTACAATGAGAAACCACAGCATAATATTAAGATATAATCTGGTTTATGACTGGCTGTTCTGTGGAAAATGTACAGGGAGTGCTGAGGACAGCAACAAAGAAAGTAGGGAAATGGGGCTCTTTAGAGTTACCATGATTTACGTCAATTCTTTATGTATATATGGATATATTTGATTTATTGGGGTTTCATACTTTAACATGGCCTTTTCATTTCTTTTCCAATTGCTTATGACATGGGCAACACTATTAAGAACTTGTCCTGGAGTGGACATTTGATACAATGGTTAAGATGCCATTTAGGATGCTCATTTCCCAGGTCTGAGTGCCTGGGTTTTAGTCTTGTCTCCATTTCTGATTCCAGCTTCCTCCTGATGTGCATCTAGGGAGGTAGCTGGTGACAGATCAAGAAGCTGTATCCCGGCCGGCGCCGCGGCTCACTAGGCTAATCCTCCGCCTAGCGGCGCCGGCACACCGGGTTCTAGTCCCGGTCGGGGCGCCGGATTCTGTCCCGGTTGCCCCTCTTCCAGGCCAGCCCTCTGCTGTGGCCAGGGAGTGCAGTGGAGGATGGCCCAGGTGCTTGGGCCCTGCACCCCATGGGAGACCAGGAAAAGCACCTGCTCCTGGCTCCTGCCATCGGATCAGCGCGGTGCGCCGGCCGCAGCGCGCCAGCCGCGGCGGCCATTGGAGGGTGAACCAACGGCAAAAGGAAGACCTTTCTCTCTGTCTCTCTCTCTCACTGTCCACTCTGCCTGTCACAAAAAAAAAAAAAAAAAAAAGGAAGCTGTATCCCTGCCATCATGTGGCAGACCTGGACTGAGTTCAGGCTCAGCTACTGTGGGCATTTGGTGTATGAAGCAGTAGTTGGAAGATCTTTCCTTTCTCTTTTTCTCTTCTCTCTCTGTCTCTCTGCCTTTCAAATAAAATAAAATAAAATAAAATAAAATAAAATAAAATAAAATAAAATAAATAACTTTAAAAAAGAGTAAAATATTTTAAAGTGCTTGTATTGCTTCAGTAAAAGTGGGTTTATTATCCATTCATTTCTCCTCATTGTATGTGATACCTGTTTTTTCAGATGTAAGGGTGACCATTTTATAAGCTACTGGTGCTTCTTTTCATTTCAGGACAAAGCAGAAGGATTGTTATACCTGGTTTCTAACATCTTTCTAAGTTTTATTGGAAGCACTGTATTTGTAGTCTGGAGTACAGCCTATTCTCATGCACCTAACTTTACCCATAAAAAGGCAAAAGTTGTTCTGAGGGAAGAAGAAGTCAATGGTTAGAATGATCAGTGTTTGTAAGGACACACACAGTTTGTTTAGGTAAGCTATGATCATGGTTTGTGAAACTTTTTGGACATGCTAATATATAGTTACTTTTATCCAAAGTTATACCATTCACTATGCTTAAAAAAGGTGACAAAAATTTCAGGCATGAAAATTAACTAACACATACAATGGAATCCTTCCTATTTCGTTTTATGTTCTAATACAGAGTCTCCTCTAAACCTTTGGTTTGTTAATGAAAGCCAATAGATCATGACAAACCTATACTATGAAAGATTTACATTTAGAAGAGCCAAAGCTTCAGAAGAAATGTTAAATTTATAAGGTAACATTTTTTAGAAACATAGACTTACTTCTGCCTTTTTACGAGCCTCCATTGCTTTCATAAGCATCATATGCTGTCGCCTTCGTTCTCGTTCCTATTAGGCCAGATAAAATTAGGAAACTAACTCAACCATAGTTAACAGTTTGATTTTCAAATGGATAAAAAACAAACAAAACAAAAAACAAAACAAAACAAAAAAACCAAAACTCAGTATAGCATGTTTAGCATTTATAGACAAGTCACGGTAAATACTAAATATAAGACAAGAATGGCCAGTCTGTGCATGTTTTAGTTCAGGTTTAGAAAGCAAATAACAAGAACAATCAAAAGCAAAAAGGTAAAGCAATGAACATGGAGACAGTGTAAACAGAAGCATACAAGATTTACTTATGGTCAGTTGTGATGCTCCTTCAAAAGCTGGCAGAACAAAAAGCATAATGGTTGGCTGGAACAGGTCAGTTACCTTACATCTGCTATTAGAAAAACCACAAATACTTACTATAGCCAATTCAACTAATGGTTGCGTTGTTCTTAAATTTTTAGATCAGGCAGAAATGGATTTATAATCACTTTCATTTTATGGTTATAGAATTTGTTATTTTAATTTCAAGAACAAAATCACTTTGTAAATTCAATAAGCTGCTAACAAATTAGAAAGTTCATTTTACAGCTTTTATACCAATTTAGTTAAACTAGTCTTGGTTCATATACGAATACCAATAAAATGGGATATTCCTGTTTACTGATGTCTGCCACTTGATGCACTATTTAAAGCCATAAAAGCTGCACCAGGGGGCTAATAGGTGGAATCTAAATGAAAATAAGGTGAACATATGCTTAATTTGATCATTTTTAAATTTAAAAATCACATTTTTATAATTCTTAGGAGATTTTTTTGTTTAAATATATTTGTTCTCCCCAAGGGGCTATTTCTAAAATTATTTCTAAAATTTGTCTATAAAACATAATATATTTTCATATTCTCTCATCAAGCAAACTCAAAATTCCCATTGTATTCAATGGCAGTTTTGCATCTAGAATGATGGGAGAATATGGATCACAATTATATCCGATTGTACAGTGATCCAACTTTCCTTGTGACATCAGTAATGTAAATTTTTAGACAACAGCCTTAGTTAAGGCTTACAAAATTCAATGAAAAATCTTAGCAATGTATCATACTTCTCTATAGACAGACAAGCAGATGTATGCAATGCACTGTGCTGTAAAGCCATGCAGCAGTATGTAATATGACAGCAGCCAGTGCTACACTTTATGCATTGCTATGACAACCATATCACAACCAAATCACAATGCGGTGTTAGATGTACAAAAATAAACATACCCATACCATATCTAGTCTATGCCTCTCCAACTCCTGGTAGAAAGAGTTGGCACAACATTATGAAACAGAAATCACAGAGTCATAAAACCAATTTTTAACCCCCCAAAAGACACCAATACCAAAGCAAGGCAATAAACTGTAAGATGAAGGAAACACTTAAGCAGGAATTATATTAGAAATTTTAAAGAAAATATTTTGAAGATTTTCCCCCAAAAAGGTTAAGCAAAACTATAAAATGTACATTTCAGCAAACATATATGTATACAGACCTGATGCTTCAGAAGAACAGCCTGTTGTCTTCTCATTTCTTTTTCCTTAAAAATAAGAGACTTTTAATATATGGCTGTTAGGGAAGATAGAACATGCTAAAAGTACTAAAAGTTACTTTTCTGAGATTCTGTAGTCTTCCACTAGGTTAAACCATATAGAATTACCAATATTCAATTTTTTAAATTATAAAGTGCTAATTCAATTGCATATGGTCCTAGCTAATACATACATAGAGAAATCATTAAGCTATACTTAGAAAGGTCTTTCTTCAGTAGCTTTTAACTTAAATTCAATGAATGACATAACAGTACATTTTAATGGCACATCCACTGGACTGGCTGGCCAGATGGTACAGCATATCTGATGTAATTTACATGCGTATTTTTTCTATTTTTAAGACATTATGCTACAACTTTTCAAATCTAGCTCACTAGAACTCTCTTCTCTCTGTATATGAACTCCCAGAGATACTCTATAATTAGCAGCATCCATTTCCTTTCTATAGACTTGTTTATGAATTAAAGTGCCAAAAACTATGTGATCGGTTTAGATTTTCAGGTCCACTTATGATTCAGGGCATCACCCCAAGGGGTTAGGGTTAAAGAAAATGATTCTAGGAATGTCTCCAATTTCATTATTTTTAGAATGGTGAAATGTAGATGAAATTAATATTAAAGACAAGAATGAAAAGGGGTAGAAACATATGGAATAATATTAGAGAGTCTATGAAGAAAAGATAACAAACAACTCCATGGCTTTATGAGATATATCTGTGATGGCTGTTTCTAACACCAGCAGGTTCACTGAGCTGCCACCTTTCAGTAACCTTATCAGAAGAGGAAAGTCAGGGCTGCATGGGGAGGGGAGGGAGACAGCTCTTTTACACTTCATGATAGAAAATCAAAACCCAAACCTCCTAAACACTTCAAGTTATAGTAATTAATAATGGCTAATTTTGGAGTAATCAGTTACAGTTGATAGCACTCAGATTTTGCTTCTGAAGGCTTTTTATTTTTAATAGACAAAACAGTTGCTAGACATTAATAAAGATTTATAAGGGCACAATTAGATTTGGAACACAGTTCAAAACAAACATAAATGACACACACAAAATAGTTTTGGGGCAATCATTCTATCCAACAAAACTATCTATACGTATTACAAAATAGTTTTGCATTCTGTTTTGATGCCTCTAATTTAAAGAACTCAAAGCATCACATACAACCTACATAATGAAAGAAAAAGTATACATACAATATACACACAAATAAAAGCACACATTTACACGTTGTATCTGCAAAACCAATTTTTAGATGGTCATTTTGAAGAAAGCTGTATATTTTTTCATTTAATTAATGCTGGTATAACATACAGTTTTTATTTTTGGAAAATAAAAACTGATTCTCATCTAAACTAACCTTTATTCGTTTCTCGGCCTCCAATAATTTGGCATTTGCCGCTTCTTCTTTCTTTTTCTTTTTAGCCTGTGCATGCAAAACAGGTCTCAAAGTCATGCAACAGAACCAACCACTACAACTTACAAATAATCTCAGACTTGAAATGAAGTTACATGCCTCACAAGGTACAAAACAATATGCAACATATATGTAGACAATTACACATTTCCCCCCAGGTAACACTATATTCAACATATTAATTTTGTGTCTATTTTATAGCTTAGCATTGGGATATAAAAAAGTTTTAAAATTCATTAAGAACCAAACAAGAATTTTAATCATCTACAAAAATTGTTAGAAGTAGGAAATAACTGAATATTTGTTATTTATTCATCATGAAAATTTAGACAATAGAGTTTATCTAATAAAAATTATTTCAAGAATAAGTCATATTTATTTCTTTTTAGTATTGAAAAACTCTAAGATAAATCAATCTATTATTTGACCATATCCATTCAATGAAACATATTAAATCTGATTTTTTCTTTCTCTATCTTGCAGTTAAATTCAGGAGTCTCTTTTTCTGGTATAATGCAAGCTTGCAATCGTTCATGAAGCACGTTTTGACTATCAAGATCATGTTATCAAATGTGAGCTTCATAATCTGAAGTCATTAAACTATGGAGTAGTTTCAAACCAGCTAGAATTAATCTGAAATGAGGAAAGGAATATATGTGTGTTTCTTGAAAGGAAAAAAAAAACTATAACATGAAAAACCTCAACTATCTGGAACCCTCAGGGAGTAAGTGCTCTCTCTATAAAGCAGCAGTTTGCTGACTAGCTGAGAGGTAACAATAATTTTAAGCATTAAAAAGTTTATTTTCCTTGTCATAGAAAGAACTACTTTTGAGGCATATGCCTATTGCGACACAGTGAAGCAAACATAATTTGGCTTTTTCTGATGACTCAGGACATTGAGTCTGAGCATCAATTATATAGCACAACTCCAGAGAGTAATGTGTATGGTCTATGAAGGTGTTGAAATTTGCACCAACCAAGAATGCAGACTTTTGCTAGGCTGGAGTTTTTCTCTATCTTCCCCTTGCTGGTTTTCAGTGTTTACTTTTGTTGTTGCCAATAAATGTCCTTTATCCTTACTTTGATCAGCTTCCAGTGAAGAAGGGTATGCTAGACACCCCAAAACCCAGCTGGTAAAACTGTGTCTACATTTAAAATTCACTTTCAGTTTTTGAATGTTTCCTTTCACAAACAATTGTTTCCCAAGTAGAGGTAGATATGTGACTACAGAAAGGTCTAAGCGCTGCTCTGAAAGTAGAGAGCACGAGTTTTAGCATGTGAACTTCATGACAACTACACCGGCTGTTCCCAGGTTCTCAGTCTTTAAAATTTCTTTTTTTCTCATGCCCTGGGTTTGTGCCGGGAGGATTAGATGAACTTGCTAATTAGGGTTCAAATAAGTTCTTACTCTACATGATGTTTAAAGAGAATTTATAATGGACATATTAATTTTATGGGTAAGAAAACATGTAGACAACTTTTTTAAAATTTTTGCAGGCTAAAACACATGACTATATTACTTGAACTATTTTGAATTTAAGAATTTTACCTCTAGAATTTGTTGGGCTCGAAGTTCTTTTTCCATTCGTATTTGCTGTATTCTCTTAATTTTTTCCTGTAGGAAGAATCATGATAAGATAAAATTAACTGAATGTGTAGGTGACAAATGTTTAAGTAGAATCAAATAATTCTAAGATATAAGCACAAAATTAACAAAGGCTGTCCAGCAGGATACAAATCTTAAAAAAAAATTGTTTACTTATTGAAAGGCAGAGCAACCCAGAGAGAGAAAGACACACACACACACACACACACACACACAGAAATTCAGAAATTCCATCTGCTTGTTCACTATCTACATGGCCAGAGTAATGAGGTCTGGACCAGGCTGAAATTAGGAGCCAGGAACTGCATCCTGGTCTCCCAGATGAGCGGCAGGGTCCCAAGAACTCAGGCCATCATCTATTGCCTTCCCAGGCACATTAGCAGGGAGCTGCATCAGAAGCAGAGCAGCTGGGATTTGAACCAGCCCGCCAGTAAGGGATGCTGGTGTTGAAGGCTGCAGCTTAGCCTGCTGTACCACAAGCTGGCATCTTCAATATAAAAGTTTAATTATGTAATATAATTACTGTATTTTAATATTTTGAATCAATCATTTAAAAATTTATCATAATTTGTGAAATACAAATGGTAAATAAATATACAAAAGCCAGGCAAACCAAGCTAATTAAATTCATATAACCTAAGAATCTTTACAAATGTTTGTAATTATAAATACTGCTTAATTTGAAATAAATATAGAAAAGAACAGCAGAAAAAGCAGTGTACCAGAAAATATAAGGCTTGGTTCTGGGTTATTGATATTTCTTGAATGGTGTTGAGTAAACATTAACTACTTTTCAATAAAATAGAGAGAGATAATTGCCCTTTCTCATGTTATGATGACTAAATGAAAAATGCTTTAAAAAGTGTATAGTGACACAATTAACAGATTAGTAATTTCCATTTTAAAATTAATTTTACATGCTGAATAATAAAACAGGACATTTCTTCTACTACTACAATAAGCCTATTTCAGAAATAATCTGTAACATTATTTTTAAATGAGTTACTTATAATTTAATAATCCAGAGAATGATTCATATGACATAATTGGTATGACATTGTCTATATTTAATGAACTGGTTATTTTGTTCCATAATGTATTGATCATTTATATTTTGATAAGAATTGATATTTTGATTTAAAAATTATCTCATATACTATAACTAGATTATTAGCAATTTCATGTCCATAATCTCTTTGAAAGTTCCAAACTCCCAAATTGGCACTGATCAGAATGAATACAGTTTCCAAAACAAAGCCCAGAAGTTTCCTGCTTGCAAATTATATTCATCTTAGAATTTGCAGAGGCAATGCAATGTACTGTGCTGTATATTACAATATTTATCTAACTTCTAGAACCTATTGTAGATTTTGAAGCTATGCTTTAATTTTAAGTTTAAATAATTTTAAATTATTTTCTTGTATACTGATGTTATTGATCTCACCCAAGAGTCTATTGCAGGACAATGAGATTTTAAAAATTACTATTCTAATTTCATAAGACCGGTTGCATTTCTATGATTTTGCCTTTGGTCATCCTATCTTGATATTGAGCATTAATTACAGGTTGCTAAAATACAAACCTAAGTAATTTTTTGTGCTATTTCCAAGTCTTAGAGAAAATTATTCTTGACATGTATCTGAAGCATTCATTTAGTTCATAACTTGAAGTCTAGGAAAAGCATGGTCTTGTTCCAAGTTTTCTGCTCTTGTCATTCATAAGATGGTAAGGTTTATGCTCTCAAGTCAGCATCCATTCATTGTTCTCTTGTGTGCACAAAGAATCTTGGGGTTAAGGATACTACCTAAAGCTTTATCCTATCTTTTCAAATGATTTATGTGTAAACAAAATATATATTTGGTAGTTCGGTCACTAGCATATAGGTAAACTTTATAAATTATTTTAGGATTACCTTATTGTATTGAGTACACAACCACTAAGCTTTAAATTAAATATCTTAGTGATCATAAGAAATGTCAGAAAAATTGATATTATCTTTCTATTTAAGAAAAAACCAAGGTTCCCAATGAGTAAATATTTTCTCTAAAGCCCAATAGTTAGTAAATCCAGAGCCCTGGACGGATTGTACTGCCTGTGTTCCTCCTGTGTTATAATAATGCTTTTGCAGGCTTCCAGAAAGCCGACCTGAGATCTACCTGTTTTTTTGGTTTACTGGGTGGGAAAAAATAACACTGATATGAGAATTAAGGCTACTAATTTTCTCTAGATATAATACTCAATTTAAAACAGGCACTATAATAACAGATTATGTGAGTAGAACTATTCTATATTTTGTTTCATTTTGTTGGCAGTAGGAATAAATTAGATGGCATTCTGAGATTAGCTCAGATAAATGTATTCATAAAAATCTAAGACCAGCTCATTTGCATTAATGCTGCTGGAACCTTTGGAGCCTAATGCTTTTGCAGTTTGGAGCAAAGACCATGTGGATGTAGTCACTTGAAGACGTTGGGTTCACAAAGCTAAATTTAAGGTACTGATGGAATGTAAGAGGTACTACTAATTATTATAAAATGCATAAGCTATAAGGAATTTAACAGAAATAGCAGTGTTTCACTTTCAATGAGATATTAATTTGTATATAAATTTATATAATTTATAGATATATGTAGTATATATTTGAATATTTAAATAAATATATTCACTAATTTAGCTATTTTCAGTAAACCTTACAATGTTTAGCAATCACAATTAACAAACTATGGAAGGAATTCAAGTTTACAATTGATTAATTTATGGTAAAAGAGTTTAGTATGCAATTTGGTGTTTTACAAATATCTTTTCTAAAAACTGAGCATTTGCTTGGTGCCAGGCACTCTATGGTAGGCATTTTATGTTCATTATTTCATTTACTCCTTAGATACTGCAGCTATCTTCTTTCACAATGGAGGAGATAGAGACTCAGAAGTTAAATATGGGAGACCCAGAAGAAGCTCCTGGCTTCAGGTCGGCACAATTCCAGCCATTGCGGCCAATTGGGGAGCAAACCATCAGATGGAAGACCTTTCTCTCTCTCTCTGCCTCTCCTCTCTCTGTGTAACTCTTTCAAATAAATAAATAAATCTTTAAAAAAAAGAAGTTAAATAATTCATCTAAGTTCACAAAATTATTAAGTAGGAGAGCCCATATTTACGTTGCCTGATTACAGACTTGAAATTCTGACTCTAATTCTGTGTGAATATTGCTTTAGTTTATACTGAAACGAACCTTAAAAATAACCCCATAAAATTCAACCAAACCCATTTATTTAGCAATTATTCATGCAGTAACATAATTGATTTTGTGTCATACTCAGAAAAAATTATTTGTTATTCAAAAAATTTTAATGAAGAGTTTTCTCCTTCACCCCATGTTTTTTCTGTTTTAATGTTATGTGAATATGTAGAGTATGGAGAGTAGTTCACACATTCCCACCTTAAATGAAGCTGAATTCTTTGTCACTTAATATCTTACCTAAAGGGATTTCAAAATTAATTCATTAATCAAAAATTAATTTTGAAAACCACATGGGGAGGGAAATTGAAGATATAAGAAAGAATTTTGGATATGCTAGAATAATACTCTGGTCATTTTTTTTTTTTTTTGCAGTAGCAATTTTTAAGTAACTTTGAAATCATTAGAATCAATGAGGACAAATCTTATTCTATAACTTGAATTTAATTTTTCACTAATATTTTACATGTTTTAGAACAATAAATTTTCTTATTAAAATTTGAACATTTAAGCAATGCCTTTACAACATTTTAAAAGTCTGAAAATTGTTCAGGATGTCAACTTATATTCAAAGTTTACCAGGATACTAAAAGTATTTAAACAAATTTACTGTTTGATAATCATTTCTTTAAAAACTAGAAAGTAGAAGATTTGGGGCTGGCACTGTGGTACAGTGGGTTAAAGCCCAGGGCTACAGCAACGGCATCCCATATGGGCGCTGGTTTGAGTCCTGGCTGCTCTACTTCTGATCCAGCTCTCTGCTAATGTGCCTGAGATATCAGAAGAGGATGGCCCAAGCCCTTGGGCCCCTGCACCCACTTGTGAGACCCAGAAGAAACTCCTGGCTCCTGGCTTTGGCTCAGCTTAGCTCAGCTCAGCTCTGGCTGATACAACCATTTGGGGAGGGAATCAGTGGATGGATGACCTCTCTCTCTCTCTCTCTCTCTCTTTCTTTCTCTCTCTGTCTTTACCTCTCTCTGTAACTCTGTCTTTCAAATAAATAAAATAAATCTTAAAAAAGAAAAAAAGAAAGTAGAAGATTTGATTAGAAAGTGAGGTGAAACTTTAATGGAAGATGACAATATTCTAAGTTAGGTCCATAACATAAATGCAAAATACAGTTGTTTAAGAAATCCAAATGAAAACAATGTACATATATAAACAGATCTTCAAAATAAGGGTCACATTTGACAAGTCAGCTCCAATGCATGCACATACCTGTTGCTTCATAATCTTGATCTGTTCCTTTTGCTTTCGCTTTTCCTCAGCAGCCATTATTGCTATGATGGGAAACCAAAGCACAGCCATCATCAGACAAAGCAGGCAGAAGAGCAGCCTCACTCATTCCCAACACTCCCCTTCAAGCTTGTGCTGTCACCCACCTTGTTGTTTTTTAGCTTCTTTGGCAACTCGAGCCTGTTCTTGCTTTTGAAGTTTTCTTAAAAGCTTTATTTGTGCTGCTTGCCTGGCTATTTCTGAAAAATATAAAATTTAAATGAATATTATTAACATGTTTACATAACTGCTAACCTAAAACAGTAACTGTGAGAAATTGGTACTATATCATCACGAAGCATATAACATCTAACCAAACTGACAAACATTAGAAAGGACCAAGGAGGAAAGTGGTGTGATAGAAAATGCCATGTTCATTTCCCGGAGAAATTGCTAAAGTTTCTCATATAGAACTCCGAAATCACGTTTTTCTCAATCCTCATCAGTATGGTTTATACTAAAAGTACAGATAATTTTGTAAATTCATATTTGCTATTTTAGATACCAAATAATAATACTTTTATAAGATTTGCAAATCATGCATAAAGAGCCCATGTTTTGGATTATCAGTTAATTTCAAGCTTTTCTAGTTTATGCAAGTAATGCATATATTCCTCACTATATACATTCTGCAGAAGAATCAAGAGCTTCCCAACAAAGATAATTTTTAGGACTCATCTATGTCTGCTAATATATTAACATTTTTTCTTTTTAACCTTCTTTAGTATCTGGGGAGATGAAAGTCATATAATAATAAAATAAATAAAATAATAGAAATATGAATTAAATAATATAAAAATATCTTACTAGTATATAAAGTTAGGAAAAAACTTACATGATATTAAGTTACATGGCAGGCAGTTACTTAGGTGCCACTGGTTGAATTATGAGTTGATGCTACCTTTTTGGAGAATATATTTGCCTACTATCTACCAAAGCTGAAAATGAAATACATAATATATATATATATATGCACATGCACACACACATCTGTATCTATTGCAATACTGTTTGTGATAGTAAATTCTAAAAACAGCTTAAACACTCTTCCCAAGAGACTAATTCATGATTAAATGAAGTACATTGGGGCAGACATTTGGTGCAGCAGTGGGTGCCTGTATTCCACAGGGGAGTACCTGGGCTTGAGGCCTGACTCCACTCTAGATTCCAACATCCTGCTGACACAACCTGGTGGCAGCAGATGCTGGCTTGGGTGGTGGAGTCTCTATTGTTCACGTGGGAGATCTGGACTTTGCGGGAGTGAACTAACAGATGGGAGGTCTCTTTCTGCTTGCCTCTCAAACTAAAATAAATTGTAAATGACATGTGGTAGAATCACACAAGGCATCATTCACTATGCAAACATTAAGAGAATGAGTTTGGGGGCCAGCACTGTGGCGTAGTGGGTAAAACCGCCTCCTGTAATGCCGGCATTCCATGTGGGCGCCTGTTGGAGTTCCAGCTGCTCCACTTTCGTTTTTTTTTTTATTATTATTTTTTTATTTTTTGACAGGCAGAGTGGACAGTGAGAGAGAGAGACAGAGAGAGAAAGGTCTTCCTTTGCCGTTGGTTCACCCTCCAATGGCCGCCAGGGCCGGCACACCGTGCTGATCCGATGGCAGGAGCCAGGTGCTTCTCCTGGTGTCCCTTGGGGTGCAGGGCCCAAGTACTTGGGCCATCCTCCACTGCACTCCCAGGCCACAGCAGAGAGCTGGCCTGGAAGAGGGGCAACCGGGACAGAATCCGGTGCCCCGACCGGGACTAGAACCTGGTGTGCTGGCGCCGCAAGGCGGAGGATTAGCCTAGTGAGCCGCGGCGCTGGCGCTGCTCCACTTTCAATCCAGTTCTTTGCCAATGTCTGGGAAAACAGTAGAAGATGGTTTAAGTCCTTGGGCCCCTGCATCCACAGGGGAGACCCAGAAGAAGCTCCTGGCTCCTAGCATCAGATCAGCTCAGCTTTGGCCATTGCAGCCATTTGGGGAGTGAATCAACAGATGGAAGACCTCTCTCTTTCTCTCTCTCTGCCTCTCTATAACTCTGCCTTTCAAATAAATAAATAAATCTTTTTAAAAGAAGATTGAATTTGACTTATAAGTGCTAGTATACTCAAGCTAAAGTGGGAAAACAGCGCAAGCTGAATAGCATTTACACTGCAAAGCCATTTATTTTAAAAATCAGAAAAGACATACGTACAAGTGTTTGAATGTATGTATTTATGTGTGTATATGTTTCTGGAAAGACTAATAAAAACTTGTTAATGATTTCACTCATGAGTGAGAAAGAGAAAGTCTCCTATTTTAAAACATTCTGTTCTATGAGCTTTTTCATGGACATTTGTTTTAGAATTCTAAAAAAGCAGCAACAACAAAGTCAATACTATGATTGTGTTCTCAATAAATAGAAATGTCTTTCAGGCATTTCCCCCAGATTTTGATAGTATTTATGGAGATAGTAAAAAACAATCTATGAGAAGGAAAAATCTGTTAGTCTTTCAAGTCAATTTTTACTATTAAGCCTTTATTTTACATTATCATAATATCTTTACATACATGCTTGAAAACATCTACAGATATGTTGATATATTCAGATGGCCTTAAGAGGATCCAATGTGTGACTAGTAACTCAAACTGCATAATACAAAACACAAAAGTATTTTATTGTAGTCAGCATTTTCTGGATAACACATAGTATGGCCACACATAGATTAGATTATCACATTGATATTTTATGTTTAATTTGAATCATAAATGTATTTGAGGTTATTACAAGCATTTTGAGCTTGCTAAATGATATCTTCTGGTAATCTTAAAATATGATTTGATTTAAATCTGCTAATGGGGTATTCTGAAAATATGTACAGCACACCCAGATTACAGGAGAACCCAAACTGCAAGCCTGGGGTTACTTACCAGTAATTGGAGTTCTTTGACTGAAAATTTACTCCACAGATCCATTTATTTTGGTTATTCTCATGTACCACCTCAAGGAATCGGGAGCTGTTAAAATAATTGCCAGAAGGTTGGCATTGCCTTAAGGCATGTGCCAAGTGCTGGTTGATTCCCTTTTTGTTTAAGTCTAAACCCATCTTTGTAATTCTAAACACACAGGGTAGAATGGGTTTATGAGAATGGTTTTTCAAAGATTACCTAATCAAAGAACTCCAGTTACCAGTGGGACTCCTTATTTTCTCTTTTAATTCTAATACAATGCCTACTTTTTAGAAATTGAGAGCAATGCTAATCATTCCTACATGATTCCTACAAGGTAAGATACATTATCTTTCTTACCTTGAGCTTGGAGTTTTCTTAGCAATTTGGCATCCGTGTTTTCTAGGAATTCAGCATTGCCAACATTTGGAGGTCGACCCTTTCGACGTTTCAACCTGGCTTCCTCTCTTGCTCGCTGTCTATCTGGATTGGGTGGTCTTCCTCTACGACCTTCCATTGCCCTGATACGAGGAATGACATCTTCTTCTTTCAAAAGACACCACTGCATTCCCTTTTAATTAATATTTCATAGAAATAATACATTACAAACAGAATAAACATAAGAGATCAACATGTCAGAAAATTCAAGGTAAATTTTAGGAGTTTTTTTTTTTAAGTTAAATTCAGATTTATAAATGTTCACGGCCTTTGGCATATCTTCAGTGTTCTCACTTTAACGACTTAAACATTACTTAAATGTCTATAGAGATTTGTAACCGTAGCTATAAAAATGTAGAGGTATTTATTTTAATCACAATTTATGATCTATATTGATCATAAAAGTTGGCAGACAGTTTAAAATACTAGTTGTCTGATGACCCATCTGTGGATTATTATTGTGGGTTATCTGTTCAAGCCAAAACATTAGGTTATCCAAATAATAAAGATTCTCTTTATAGGAATGTTACAGTTAATAAATAGAGATGGAAAGCAAGAGGTACAATATCACCAGCTCTTATCTTTGAGAAATACAAAAGGAAGCATTTATAGATAAAACAAGATTTATAAGATTTGCTTCAACAAATTTTGAAATAGGAGAAGTAGAGGTGGTATATGTAAAACAATATTGCCATAATGACAATTACTGAAGCAGATGGTGGGCACATGGCATATACTATTCTATCTACTTGTGTGCATATTTGACATTTCTCATTTTAAGCCTCCTAATGGAAATATGCACACTAATAGAATGCTAGTGTATTCTCAGAATAATCCTGCTTGGCATATAAACACAATCTGAGTCTGGTTTTCATATATCCTATACATGCCAATCATAACAAACATCATTCTGTATTCCATTACATGTAGTCCAAAATAACAGCTTCAGATACAGGAGGAGCAAAGTTTTCAGATAATTCTCTTATTATGGTTTATGTTTTTTTAAAGAGGAGTTAATTTAGCAATGTAAAGTTGAAGGAAATTTCTTAAGTATGTTTTTCTCTTAAAAGAAAACCAAGTAGCGATTTTGCTTGAATCACTGGAAGAAATTCTGCAACCAAAAACAATCAAAAGTTCTTGAGTTATATTTTATAATATGATTCCTAATCTGGGCCAAGGAATCCATGAATATCTCAATTGACAGTAAAAACACAAATATTACTACTGCTACTGTAAAGGACACATCAAAAAGTTTGTGGAAAATGCAATTATAAGTGAAGTTTATTTTGGTGCAAAAATTTGAAATCCATGTATTCAAAGATTCTATAAAATGTTCATGAGAAATGTATATTACAAAAAAAAATTATCCATTTGGGGCCGGTTTTAAGAGTTACTATTTTATGGGGCTGGCACTGTGGTGTAGCAGGTAAAGCCGCCACTTGCAGTGCTGGCATCTCGTTTGGGCGCTGGTTCGAGTCTTGGCTGTGTTGCTTCTGATCCAGCTCTCTGCTATGCACCCAAGTGGGAGACAAGGAAGAAAGTCCTTGGGCCCCTGCACCCATGTAGGAGACCCGAAGAAGCTCCTGGCTCCTAGCATAAGATCAGCTTAGTTCTGGCTGTTGGAGCCATTTGGAGAGTGAAGCAGTGGATGGAAGACCTCTCTCTCTCTGCCTTTCAAATAAATAAATAAACATTTTTAAAAAAGAGTTACTAATTTATATCCTGGTGAATAACATATTCACTTCTTTAAAAGCCACATATACAAGGGAAAAAAGAAACCGCACAATCAATGTAAATAAGTAAAGGAGTGAAAGTACACTCTAAGACTGTAATCTATTATTTAAATATTTGTTGAGGCACCGACTCTGCATAAGGCCTAACATTATCTACGGGTGAACCAGAAAGTCTTTTCCCCAGGAGAACAGTATTTTCACATGTATCTCAGGCTGAGGTTATTCCGGTGCAGGTGATCAAAGGACCACACATTAATAATGGATTGGAAAGAGTTCAGAGGTTGGAATGGAATTTCATTTGTTAATATAAAAATTCTGAAGGTCTAGATTATGGCAAGGGAATGAGAATTGGAAAGGAAGATGGAAATACTGGTGTTTTCTGATACAGAAATGCGTGGAATTGGGGATGGCACTGGTGCCCTCATGCCATACAAGAGGACTGGTTCAAGGCTTGGCTGCTCCACTTCTGATCCAGCTCCCTACTAATACACCTGGGAAAGCAACAGAGGATGGTCCAAGTACCTGGACCCCTGCTACTCATGTATATCAGGAAAGAGTTCTTTGTTCCTGCCTTCAGCTGAGACCTGGCTGTTGGGGCCATTTGAGGAGTGAACCGTGGATACAGGATTTCTTTCCCTGTATCTCTGTCACTATACCCTTCAAATAAATAAACAAAAATATTAAAAACAATTGTCTGCAATTAAAGACAGCTTGAATGTGATGGAGAAAACCTGAATGTAGACCAAAAAGATGATTAAAGTTTCTGATAACCTCTAAGCAACATGGAAAAAGGATATAATAGAGGTTTTTTTTCCACAGTTAAATTAAAGGCTGGAGAAATACTTGAGAAAATTGGCAAATAAATGTATTTCATCAAAGCATTCATGACTTACAAAGTAAACATCTTTACAGAAAACTTATTTTATGAATGAATGAATTTATATTTTTAATATTCAGAAATTCAAAAGAGATATTAGGAAATTTAATTTCCATATGATCTTTCTAATTTCCAACATTTCTGCTACTTTTTCTGCTACACTCCAACGTAACGCTGAACATTTCATGAAAAACTGGTGGGTTTCAATCTTTCTTATAAACACTTAATTGCCTAATTAACTGGTTTCCCATGTTCCACTGAGAGAGTCAATGTGTGGTTTAGCAGTAACATGTTTAGGTGTTAATGGAATGTGTTCTCCAATCTCATTCCCACTTCAATTTTATATCCTAGCATGTCCTTATTTTTCTTTTGTTGCTCACATTTTGTTTGATTTTATATACTTGTAAGCTGATTTATTTAGGGGACAAAGCAGCTTACAACTAAATGCAAGAAACCAGTCCACAAAAAGCCAACACACTGAATGATATATTTGCCAAGTTACTGATAATTTTGTAAGTTATAACATGAGCTTTGCTGCAGCAGTTTCACCATAGATCTGCAGTTCTTTGCCACCAAACCTCAATTTTCCAAGTTAATGTATGAGAGCTCTAGGACTTCTTATAGGCTCAACGTTATATCAGTGAATGGATGAACATTCTACTCATATTTTTGGATCCCAGTTCCTGTTCTGGCAGTAAAGTATCTGTGGTATACATTTTAAATCTGGACTAAGGTATTTGTTCGAATAATTTTAGGCCTGAGAGTCACTCAGTGAATTGGTCACTTATCAAATTAATTTCTGGATATATCATTTTCTGTACATTTAACCACAGCTTAAATAAATAAAGTTCCAGAAGTTGGTAGTAAGAGGTTGATATACTACAAAAATTATGGCATTAGAGATTCTTAGTTCACCTTAGTAACACATCTTATTAACATCATACATTGAATAGTATCTGACAGATATGAAAGAGAAGAACAGTTAGCTATAGGAGGAAAGGGTTATCATCTTTTAAAGACAGTTAAGATGTGAGTTGACACAATTGTTTCCATAATGCTGACTCTGCTTTCCCGTAACTCATGGTAGGTTACCCTATAAGAGTCATGACTTTCAGTAGCTTCTACTTAGCTACACACTTGAATTCATACAACTGGACTCCCATAAGCCTTGCCAGGCCACAAAAATCCTACCTGGAAGATTAGTGACACAGATTTTCAGACTTTCAGATTTCTGGTACTGATCTTTCATGTTCTTAGTGTCCCTATGTGCCCATAGCCATGTTGCATTAAGTATGACAGTTAACAGCAGAGTTGAATTAGAACCCTGGTTGTTGGCTCCCCATCTTTTTGTTCTTTACTTAATTTGAAATAATTACTAGCATAACAGCTGTGCCAGGAACTGCATGTTGCCTGCCCTACGTCTGCTCCCTTATTAACAGAATCCTAATTTTAGCCGGACACGCTTATACCTAGTGATTATCTTCCCCAGAGAATAAACTTCTCTACATCAGTGATCATAATTTATAAAACTTTGTACTCTTCAGTTTCTCTATGAACGCTAGTTTTGCCTCAAAGTCAGGATTTCAACATTTCTGTAGAAAAAGGTGTGTTTATAATTTAGTTTATGAAAAAAAGTACATTTAGGGGAATTTTATTTGGAGAAGAAAATGCCTGGCACATTAGGTGTTTGTCACAAATATTTTTTGACTTACAAAAGTAAGAAAAAAGGCTTTCTTCAGTGATAAACTACAGATATTTTACTTTTCTTACGGTCTAGTGCCATCAAAATTAAGAAAATTTTAAAAAATACATCTCAGAGAGAAAAAGCAACATTCTCTGAGTCATTTTTAACTAGTCTCTTTTTTGCATTATTCCTTTTTTTTTTTTTTTTGCATTTCTTTGGCTTGAATGCAGTAGAAATTCAGTTCTCTAAATCCTCCTGAACTTCCTGGTGGAAAAAATAAGCCCAATGATATATTAAATATTAATATTAAAGTAAATAACATTTAATTTATTTAAATATTATATTTATATATAATACAAATTATTATAAATTATATTATAAATTATTATTTAAATAATAATATATTAAATAACAGATTATAGTAAGTTTTGCTCTTGTTTGTTTTCTGTATCTCATAAATATTTTCTTAGTAGATCATCATATAATCCAAAGTGATCTTTGCTTTTAGCAATTGATTCTCAAGCCTTCATATGGTCCTAAGAAATGTGAATACCTTTTATCTTAATATCATAGTTAAGTGAATAAAAATAAACATATTTCATGTTTTACAAAATCTGTCTAGCTCAATCTCACTTTCTACCATCCTGATAAATAAAAGCAATTCAAAATAAAAACAATGGTAAACATTAGGTGCAATAAGCTGTTTATAATGTGATGGAGCAAAGTCTGTCAAAAAAAAACTATCACACACTTTTTCAAAATAATCTCAAATGGACTAAAACAGTTAATAAATCCACCAGAAGGCAGCTAGCCAGTAAAACATGGACTTACAGAATACT